CATGCCTGGCTAATTTTTTCTATATATTTTTAGTTGTCCAATTAATTTCTTTCTATTTTTAGTAGAGACGGGGTCTCGCTCTTGCTCAGGCTGGTGTGAAACTCCTGAGCTCAAACAATCCGCCCGCCTCAGCCTCCCAGAGAGCTAGGATTATAGGCGTGAGCCACCGAGCCCAGCCGATTGTGGCTATTTATATTGACAGGATAGACAAGCAGTAAAGTGTTAACTTTTTTTCTTCATTACAATATATACACACACACATAATGGTTTTTCTTTTATGTAAAATATAAAATTACTATTTCATAGACAAGATTCAGGAAAACTTTGCTAGGATGTGGGTGTACATGGGAGTTCAGGAGATCAGGATCATTTATTGGCCTTTTGTATCAGATAATACTAGACTAGGAGCTTTTACATAAGTAGTTTCATTTGTTCTTCGGGTGCAGAACCTGCTGCCTTCTGATTTCAAGATTGTTCTTTTTTTAAGCACCAAAGGAGGCAAGAAAAGCTTCATCTTTCTCTGCTGCTCCCCTTTTAATGAAAGGATTTGTTCTGTAAAATTTGGATTTGGTCAAAAGGCCACACTTAAGGACCTAGAAAGCCACATGTGGCCTTCAGGCTGCAGGTTCCCCACCCCTGCTAGGAAGTACTTTCATGAGGCCCATTTTTATGAATGAGGAAGTCGAAGTTCAGGTTCATTATGGGGTTAGTATTTGCGCTGAAGTCCGACTCCAGTACCTGTGCTCTTTTACCCTACACTCTGTTGCCTCTTTTATTGTTTGGAGACATTCTTGTCATTGACTCAGTTGAAGAAAATAAATAAAACCAAACTGCTTGAACTCAGAAGTTGTTTGGGGATTGAAAGACCCTTTATGTGTTTGAAGGAAGCCTAGACCCAAGGTCAGAAGACTTGGGTTCTGGTCCCAGCACTATTCCCTGACAGCTGAGAGCCCTAAGTCTTCACCTCTCTGAGCGTCTATGGCCTTGTTTGTAAAGCAGAAGCGGCCTCTCCTACCAGAGTGATATACACAGGCTACTGTGGGTGCAGAGGCAGCCATATATAGATCTCTTTCAGTCTCTGCTTTCCTGACTTTATGTATTTATTTTTTTAAGCTGCATTTCTCCATGCCTCATCCACCCCACAGTGTTCTCACAAGGACAGTAGGAGATAACATTGCAAAAACAATGCCTGGCTCTATGGGATTTTTATTATTTTAAAACTCTGAGGCAGCCTAGGCGTGGTGGTTCACACCTATAATCTCAGCACTTGGGGAGGCCAAGGAGGCAGGAGGATCACTTGAGGCCAGGAGTTCCAGACCAGCCTGGGAAAAATAGCAAGACCCCATCTCTTACCCTCCCCCCACAAAAAAAAAAACTCTGAGGTTTGTGATTTGTTTGATGGTAGGCCAAAGACAGAAATACAGAAGAGTCCAGGTGATGGTAAAGACAACATGTTTCTGGAAGGGCTCTGATTTGGGGGATGGAATTTGGGATGAGTCTAAAGAAACAGTGTGTTCTAGTTCTTGCAACCTGGCTGAACATTATCACTTTGGAGATTTTGTCCGCTAAAATCTTAGACAGTTAGACTCCAGGTCGGAGATAAGGATGGATTTATTTACTTCTTTTTTTTTTTTTTTTTTTGAGACAGGATCTTGCTGTATCACCCGGGCTGGAATGCAGTGTCACAATCATAGCTCACTGCAGCCTCAGACTTCTAGGCTCAAGTTATCCTCTCACCTCCAATAATCCTCCCACCTCAGCCTCCCGAGTAGCTGGGACTGCAGGCACACGCCACCCTGCCCTGCTAACTTTTTAAACAATATTTTGTAGAAACAGGGTCTTACTATGTTGCCCAGGCTGGTCTCAAACTCCTGGCCTCAAGCGATCCTACTGCCTCAGCTTTCCAAAGTGCCGAGGTTATAGACATGAGTCACCATATCTGGCCAAGGATGGATACATAATTTACAAAGCCCAGACAAGAAGAAGCTTGCATCAGCAGCCAGCTTACTAATGGCTCTGCCACAAACTTGCAAAATAAAATTTGCTTTGTAACTGGTCATAAGGAGGTGAGAGGGAATCACCAATTGGTTGTACATAGTTATTTTCAAGTGTCTGCAGGAAAGCCCTGTTGTTCGACTGCCTTTTATTTTGACAATAAGAAAGGTTGGAGTGGCAAGGTGTGTGAATATTGGCAGTGCGCTGGTGAGATCTGACTTTCTTGGTGGTATCTTTGTTCCTGCTCTGTCACCAGGGAGGTGGGTGATCCAGGAATTCATCTGCTCTTCTCGGACCTCAGTGCCCTCCTCAGCAAAAGAATGTTGAACTAGATAATCTTTCAGGCTTTTTCTAGCTCTGACAATCTGTGATAGCAGTAATTTTAAATTGACTAACATGTCCGTTGATTTCTTACCCCTTTCTCATCACAGCTTCTCTGGGGTCAGCTTTACCATTGCTCTTGAGGTCCTCTTGACCACTCTTGACATGGCTGTGGCCTTTGTTCTTTTGTGCAGTGGTGTACATATTTTGCAAAGAGATGCACATCAGTCTGGTCCTCTGCTTGGCTGTGAGAAGGCCCTGTTCCTTTACCATTAAAAGCTGTCAGTTTTGGGGAAACTACTTGACCTCCATTTCTTTACCTTTAAGACTAGTATAATGATATCTATCCCAAAAGGCTATTTGGGGGTATTAAGTGAAGTTAAAACACCAGGAGAATGTCTGTTAATTTCCTTTCTTCTTTTCCAGAAAGGCAAAATGAATTCATCTCTGTTGTTTCTCTCTCCATCAGCCAAGCCAAATAACTCTGGTGAAGCCCCCTCAAGCCCTGTCCTTAAGAAAAGTCTGTCTTCAAGCAAATGTGACCCCAAGCACAAGGACTGTCTGCTGCGGGAGTTTCGGAAGTTGTGCGCCATGGTGGCTGATAATCCTAGCTACAACACAAAGACCCAGATCATCCAGGACTTCCTGCGGAAAGGCTCAGCAGGAGGTGTGGCCATGAGCATCCTGAATGAGCTTTTCCTCTGAAGAGCTCAGGGCCATGGCCGGCTTCATGAGCGTGTGAACTGTACAGTTGCACAGGGTCCCGTGTTTGGTTTAATGTCTTGCTGTTGCTGTCTTGAAATTCTTAATAATTTTGAACAAGGGGACTTGGATTTGCATAAGCTGGACTTCCCAAATTATGTAGGCAGTTCTGCTCAGAGCAGTTTGGCATCTTTCTTCCTATGCCCTTGTTCTGTCTCTAAGAAACCAGACAAATCCATCCTATTTGACTAGTAAGAAAATTCACTGTCCTGCATTTTTGATGAGGTTTTTGTGAATCATATGCACAGCTTGGAATAGAAGCTTCCAACTCTGTTTCTTTCATTTATCTAACAGATTGTCACTGAGAATCTGTAATGTGCTTGTCACTGGGCACATGAACTGAAAATTGTAGCTTTGCCCAGCAGGAGTTCATCCGTGGGCTGAAGGTGAGGTAGACACATAAACCACCAGCCACCTATCACTGCGGTAGGCCTCTCTTACTGTAGTGACATGCACAGGGTACTGTGGGAGTATAGGCAGCCATACATAGATCTCTTTTGGTCTCTGCTTCTTTGAGTTCATGTATTTATTTGTTTAAGCCTCATTTCTCAGTTCCTTTCTTCTGTCTCCAGATGGTTTCCACGGTGATGTGTACCTAACGGTGAAGCTGCTGCTGCCGGGTGTCATTAAGAGTGTTTACAACTTGAATGACAAGCAGATTGTGAAGCTTTTCAGTCGCATTTTTAACTGCAACCCAGATGATATGGCACGGGACCTAGAGCAGGTCAGAGGAAGGGGAGGGGAGGCCACATTCCAGGTGGAGTTCTGCCAAGCCAGGCACCTGTAGCCTCTTTTTTTCTGGTTGGGGCACATACTATTTCAGGCAACTGAAACCCATTTGAGCAACCTTCCGTTATGGGGGGAGCTGAATGTGAGGCAGTAGCTGTTAATTTCATAAGTGTCTGGGGACTGAAACTGTACCAGTGCTGAATCACAAAAGGCCTGGTTCTCAAAAGTCAGAATTCGAGACTTCCTTCTGTCTCTCCTGGGGCTCTTGTTCTGGACTCTCTTTCTACTTCTTTTCCCCTGTAACTTGGGCTTAACATTCAGCTTTGGATTGTTCATGACTCTAGCCGTGGCACCATGGAAAGTTTCCATTTAAGCACCCCCGTTGTCTGATGATAACAAATTTGTCTTTTTGTTCAAATTCTTAAGCAGAATTGAAATGGGCTCAGTGCTGGATTAGTTCTTGTGTCTCTTCTCAGCCTAGGCAGGTGGGCAGATCCTGTGGTAGGTAGACATGCCACTTCTAGGAAACATGGACGGAATAGAGTCTCTAAGAAGCGAGGTGCATATGTTGAGTTGGGACAGGAGCTGTGATTCAAATGTCCTGGTTCATCTTTAGTCCTGGGTCTTGAGGGATATACTTGGCCACCCCGGGGTTGCAGCAGTGGCATTTTGGTTTTTGGAGACAGGGTGACGTGTCAGAGACAATCAGAGTCTTCTTTGAGCAGAGCAAGTCTTTCCCCCCAGCTGCCAAGAGCCTCCTTACCATCCAGGAAGTGGATGAATTCCTCCTGCGGCTCTCCAGGCTCACCAAGGAGGATGAGCAGCAACAGGCCCTGCAGGACATCGCCTCCAGGTAGGAGAGCTGCCTCACCATGCCCAATGGGGACGGCTTAGGGAGATGGAATCTCTTGGGAAGGAAGGTTTGGGGGTCCAGAGTCTTCAGAGACCAAGTTGAATGTGCCTCATCCCCCTAGGTGTACAGCCAATGACCTTAAGTGCATCATCAGGTTGATCAAACATGATCTGAAGATGAACTCAGGTGCAAAACATGTGTAAGTACCAGCTCCTTGACAGCCTGAGCTGCTAGCTTCATTTGTTCCCCGCTGGTGTCAGGACTTTGGAGTCCTGATCTGATATGGATTTGAATCCTCATTCCCCCTTCTTATATTTTATGGGAGCCTGATCCGTCACTTGGCCTGTCTCCACCTCCATTTCTCAAATGTAAAGTAGAGATAACAATACCTTCCTCATAGGGTTGTTATAATTGAAAGTATGGAGTATGTTCGCTAAGTAGAATGAGTCTCTTGCCCACTGTAGCCCCTTCCTCACTAAGGCAGCATCCAAGTAGGCAGTGTCTCAAATGAGCTGAATTTTCCAAGCGTTTTTTCCTCCCCTTGTGAAGGTCTTTAGATAATAGAACACAACCCCTTCCCTACAGATTGGGATTTCTCCTCTCTTGGAGGATAGGCTGCTATCCAAAGCTACAATGTCAAAGGCATTGGTTTTGTTTGCTTGCTCCTGTGTCCCTTGGCAGGTTAGACGCCCTTGATCCCAATGCCTATGAAGCCTTCAAAGCCTCGCGCAACCTGCAGGATGTGGTGGAGCGGGTCCTCCTCAACGAGCAGGAGGTGGAGAAAGAGCCTGGCCGGAGACGGACTCTGAGCGTCCAGGCCTCGCTGATGACACCTGTACAGCCCATGCTGGTGAGGAGCGCTGCCCTGCACCTGCTCTCCCCACCTCTCCGAGTGTCACATCCTTCGGAGCGAGATCTGATAGGGCATGCATGTTGAGACCTCTTGCACGTTAACTGGATAAGTTTGGGAAAGGAAGAGTGGAGGTACAAGAGGGCATTTTTCAATGGGGAACTGAAGGCAAAGGAGAAGACAGGGGATCTGGTGGGAAGACCTGAATTCTAGTCGCAGCTATACCACCAAAAAGCTATAGAATCATAGATGAGTTACTTAACCTCTCTGGGCCTTTAGTCTCCTTGTGTGAATGATGTCAGAGACTCTGAGGCATCTGCCTAGAGTGCTTTATCTGTCATCTTACCTGAAGACAGGTGGATGTATTAAGTAACCCCTGAGGTTCTGTGGCCCGCCCGCAGAGTAGCTAGCTCTGAGCGCTGGTAGCAGAGCCAGGCTTCCTATGACAAGGTGACTCGGGAAGAGGGAAGAAGCTTAAGGAATGAAGACTAACTCTGACAGAGATCATCTTGGGTGCCTGCTCATTTCTTGAGAAAGGGGATTTTCTTTCTGTAATCAGTTTTCCTGTGCAACAGGACCCACTGCATACGCTGCCATGCCTACTGTGAGATCCTATGGGTTTTTCCAGTGGTATACCATGCTTTTTTTGAAGTTGTCTTGTATGTCATGCTAAAGCGTTGGTTTGGAGTTCTGTGTTTGGAATAGGGAAGTGTTCTCTTCTTGCTAGGAATGTGGGACTGCCAGCACCAAAATAGTGAGATCTCCATCCCAGGGATGGAACCCAGTCACCTTCGGTAGTGGCCTTCCTAACTTTTACAAGAATTCCTCCTGGAGTCTGTTCTACAGCCTACCAGTTGAAGAGTGGCATGGGTTATACAGCTAATGGTTAACCACACAAGCTTTGCAGTTGAGCCAAGATTCACCTCCCGTTCCTAGTGTTTATTAGCTGTTTAACTTTCTATTTACTAGCTCTGTAACCTTAAACAAGTACTTAATCCCTCTGGCCTTCGGTTTTCTCATCCATAAAGTGAAAACAGCAATATTTGTCACATAGGACGTCACACTGAGGATGTAATGAGATTATGTATGTGATCTAACAAGTACCAAAAAAATGGTAGCTGTTATCGTTCGAGTGTGGCTGGCGCAGCTGTGTGAGTGAGCACTGCTGCATCTGGGTGTCCTGTCTGTCTTAGGGATCCCTGATCACTCTCCCTGCCAGCCTCACTGTCTCGCGCACTCTTTAGTCTTACTTATACATACCTCTTGTGCTGAGATAACTATCAGTATTTAATAATGAGCCAAGCATAAATTGTTGAGGAAAAAATTAAATTCTGTTTCGGTGGAATTTTATTCTACAATGAACAGCATTCATATTCCTCAAAATGCAAGTTCTGTGTCAGCTCTGGTGACTGTTTTATAGGCAGAATACAACATTGTCCAGCCCTTTCCATCCCCAGACACTGTGGACAGTCGGTCCCCAGGACCCAGGTGCTGCCCCTGCCTAGCCCAGTTCCAGGCTCTTTGGCTGTCCCTGCTAAGCAGCCCCTCACCGAAAGTCTCCAGGCTTTGCTTTCCCCACCCCAAGGCCGAGGCCTGCAAGTCCATCGAGTACGCGATGAAGAAATGTCCCAACGGCATGTTCTCCGAGATCAAGTATGATGGCGAGCGAGTCCAGGTGCATAAGAACGGGGAACACTTCAGCTACTTCAGCCGCAGCCTCAAGCCCGTCCTACCTCACAAGGTATATGTCCTTCCCCTTTCTGCCTCTAAGAATCTCAGGGCCAGAGGGTGGAAAAAAAATTAGGAAAAACAAAAAAAAAGAATTTCAGGGCCAGAGTCCCATAGCCATTCCAGCTCTGCTGTACAATAAAGGTTTGTTTTTTTCTTTCCTTTTTTTTTAACCCTAACCTAAGTACTTCAGAGACAAAGGGTTTGCTTTTCATTTGCTGAATAAATGAATCAATTCCAATAATGAGGGACTGCTCAGCAGGAACACTCAAACAATCCAGACTTAGGTTATTCAGGAGAGAGCTCCACGGGACAGAGATACTTCCCTCGCCCACAGTGGTATTGGCACAGTGAACTTGGTGCATTGCTCTGCATGTCTTTTGCATTTCCACGTGCTGAGCCCTCCCCCGAGCTAGACTAAGGCTCGTGTACAAGGGGCTGTTAGGTTGTCATTCATTAATTTGTTCAACAAATATTTATCGAATGCGTAAGCACTGTTGTAGTCAGTCGCCATATGGCAGTGAAAACAATGGACGAAAGTTCTGGCTCTCGTGAAGTTTACATTCTGATGTAAACACAATCCCAGGGGACATCTGGGAGCCTAGATTCCTGCCCTCATCAGCAGGGGCATTAAGCACTTCATTCCTCAGCCCTTCTCAGCTCCCAGGGATACTGTGAGCCTTTGGGGTATCTCCAATGAAAAGCAGCGTGAACATCTGGCTCCAATAGCTTGTGAGCAGATGGAATTCCTGTCCTTGCTGTCTTTTTCTTTCGTGGCTCAGACTCCATGTCTCAGAGCAACTGAGTTTCTCAGAGCCCCAGGGGTCAGGGGAATGTGTTATGTGGTCCACATGCTTACCTCAACCTTGCCTTCCTGCTGGAACACAGAAGACAAAGCAATCAGGCCATTTGTTTTAGGTGTTGGAGAGGAGAGCTAAGCAGTGGCCTCTGCGTGGAGCTTTAGTGCAGGTTTACTTTTCTGTGGAGCACTGTAAAATTGCCAAAGAACTGCTTTTGGTGAGGTTGGTATTAAATGGGTACCTCCTGTGACCCAGGAAGAAGTTTGAGCACAGCTTTCCAGAATTAGTCCTTTTCCTACTTTCTGTTACCCAGTGTTCACTCATCCCTTGCCTCTCCTGTGCTTTTGGTTCTTAAAGGGCTAGGGTGGGCATTGAAGGGGAATGGGGTGGATGTGCAGGCCTTTCCTGTTCCTGCTCCAGGCATCCTGGGTAGTGATGGCCTATGTGCCCTGCCCAGGTGAGAAGTTGGGCCAGTTATCCTCTCTGGACGCCATTGCTGGCATCACTTGGCAGGGGCTACAGGTCCCTCAGGGTACAGAGGGACCTCTCCCTGGCTGGAGTTGTCAAAATATTAGGGCTCTGCCCTTATCAGGAAAACTCCAATTCCAAACATCCTGTTTTACTCTGAAGATGGCTGTGTGTTCAGAGCTTCCACTCAGAGAGGACACTGCATCTTTCCAACCTGTCTGTCCTCCCCCAGTCCAACCCCAGCCTGATACCCACCCAACTTCTGCAACAGGCACTCTGCCCACCCACTTTTCCTCCCTCCCTCCCATATTTGTCTACCTCCACCTCCTCCCTGCACATGTTCACTCTGTCAGTTTCTTCTTTTTTTCTCCAAAACTCTGCCTTCTCTACCATCCATAAAAGGTGACTCAGCATGGGCTAATCTCCAGGTCATGACTTCTGACCCAGACAGAAGTACTAAAACACATAGCTTATTTTATTCTTCCTGTCCAGTTGGCTGACAGGGCCTACCTACGTGATACGCACATGAGCTGGCCTTCTATAGTGGTGTTCTATGTTCCTTCTGGGGCCTAGGCTTTGCTCTCCATGGCTTGGCTCTGGTCCCTGCTGCCCATTCGTCCCTCGTCAAAGCTACACTTCTGCTTCCAGGTGGCCCACTTTAAGGACTACATCCCCCAGGCTTTTCCCGGGGGACACAGCATGATCTTGGACTCTGAGGTGCTCCTGATTGACAACAAGACAGGCAAACCATTGCCCTTTGGGACTCTAGGAGTACACAAGGTACTGGCCAAGGGTTATATGTGCAAGAATGAATGTATGTGTGTGCACACATGCATGCATGTGTGTGCTGCAGTCTGAAAAGAGAATATGTCATGTAGGGTGGAGCTTATCTTTGCTTCTGATGCCTTTTCGAGTTGGTTTCCATTTAGTACCATCTACTGAGTGCCCTTATGGCCCAGGGGCTTCAGAGCACAGATAGGACTTTCCCATCGGGCGCTTCAGAGGGCCTCCAGAAGTAGACCGTGTTTTCACGCCCTGTGACTTTGGTCCTTCTTGTGCCTAATACCTCATTTTCCCTTACAGAAAGCTGCCTTCCAAGATGCTAATGTCTGCCTATTTGTTTTTGATTGTATCTACTTTAATGATGTCAGCTTGATGGACAGGTGAGTTGGTTAGCATCTTTAAACCCAGCAACTGCCAGGAATCTATTTTCATTTCCTGGATGAGGAGGTGAGGGGATTCAGGTTGGAAAAAAGGGAAAGTAACAGGCTGGCACATATGCCTTTGTGCCCAGGAGCTTGTCAGGGGCAATGCAGGAGGGAGCTGAGAGAGAGCACAAGTGCTATAGTCATCTCCCCATTTTCCTCCTGGAAAACCCCATATGTTGACTGTGTCTCATCTCTGAGAGCTTAAGTCATGGAGGAAACCTAAACCCCCAAAGAAGTTTCTCTACTTCCTGGTAGTCTAGTGGTTAGGGGAGAAAAAAAATTTTTTTCTTTTAAATGTTTCTCTACTAAAGCAAAGAGACTATGAACACAGTGGAGTTTCAGTTTATTTCTCCAGTAACACCCCTGGGGTCATAAGACAGATGGTTTCAGCTCAGAGGTTTTGATTTCAAAAGAGACTGACAGCAGGAAGCTCCTGATGGTAGAGGAGGCTATAGAAGACCATTTGGGGGAGAACTACCACTATGCTTGGGCCTGAGAAACCAGTGTTGGCCCTTCCCATACTTAGAAATGTATCCCTACACCTGTTCCTTCTGCAGCAGCCACGTCCTTGCTTGTAGAAGGGGAAGGGAGCAGAAAAGAGAAAGAACTGGTAGGACAGGAGTTAAGGTTTGGGTCCTGAGATCTGTCTCAGCGTGCTGACCCAGGGACCAGCGAGCCTTGGGGTTGAGGTAAAGCAGGGCACAGGGGATAAAAAATCAGAATTAGAGTCATTTTTCAAGTGGGACCAGAATTTATACAATCTGGGCTAGAGGCCAGTTCTCCCTTGGCTCGATGAAGTAGAAATAGGAACTACAGCTATGAATTGGCTCTGTGCCATGACTCACAATTGTCCATCTTCGGTCACAATGGAGCCCTTGTAGCCCTTAACAGCAGAACTATTGCACATAAGAGCCTTAATCCATGGGAAACCCCCTCTAAGCAGCAGTTACTACTATTGTGCCCCTTACCTCTGAATTCCTAACAGAGGTAGGAGGACCCTGGCCTAACCTCAGCTCTCCTGTTCCCCTCAGGCCTCTGTGTGAGCGGCGGAAGTTTCTTCATGACAACATGGTTGAAATTCCAAACCGGATCATGTTCTCGGAAATGAAGCGAGTCACGGTACACGAAGACCCTCCCCTAGGCAGGGTCTAGTGTTTTGAAAGCAGGGCAAGGAACCCCTTGGGTCAAGTGTGAGTCTTAATTCTGTTACGGGGGCTGCTGTGTTTGCCTATGACTGCTGTGTGTGTTCTTTACTAGTCTTCACCCAGGAGGGCAGGGATGAAAACCCCTTCTAGGTAAGCACCCTGTTTCAGAGCCACAGCAGCTCTCTGGTTGGGATGAGAGGTTCCCTGCTTTACAACCCGCTGTCCCTTACATTCAAGTCAGGATGTTGGCAGTGGGCACTTGACTAGTGTGCAAAAAGGAACAAGCCCCACCTCACTCCCGTGCCACTCTCTGTTCTCACACTATGCAACATCTCTCCTCTCGTCCCTCAGAAAGCTTCAGACTTGGCCGACATGATAAACCGGGTGATCCGGGAGGGGTTGGAAGGGCTGGTGCTGAAGGATGTGAAGGTAAGGCGGCTACACCCTGTTTTCTCCTTTCCAGCCCTGGCCAGGAGATGGTGGTGACAGTCCGAGGTGCCTGGGGGTGGGTCCTGAGGGGGGCCTTCCCAGGGTTTGGGCAGGTCTGTTCCGGAGGATGTTTCTGTGCGTCCTTTAGTGTCCGGGGGCTGCTCCCAGAGCAGGCTGGGCACTGTGACAGACCTAGTGTGTAGCGGTGAAGGGTAAATGCCATCCTCATAGAGTTTTCATTCTGGTGTGTGGTCTCTCTTTTGCCTCCCTTCAGGGTACATATGAGCCTGGGAAGCGGCACTGGCTGAAAGTGAAGAAAGACTATTTGAACGAGGGGGCCATGGCCGACACAGCTGACCTGGTGGTCCTCGGGGCCTTCTATGGGCAAGGGAACAAAGGTCAGGCTAGTCCCTGGCCCCTGGGCTGGTACTCTTTTGGAAGGTACCGCTTGAGATACAGGCTGACCTTTTTACTGGCTTCATCTGCCAGCATGGCTGCCGTGACTTCTAAAGTCCTGGGATCTAGGGCTCCAAGCTGGCCTGAGACACCTCAGGCAGGGACATGTGAGAGCTGCACACAAGCAGGGAGAAGTCAGGCAAGAACACCTTGTGCTAGGCTGGTGGAAAGAAGCTCCAATTATTTCTTCAGGGCCTGACAGCTTCCTCCTCAGGGAAAATCTCTTTCCCGACTGGAAAGCAAGCTGGCATCTGAGGAACTGATACTTTTAGGCAGTCTACTATGTGCTGGGCACTTCTCAGTTCCCCAGAGCTCAACACGTTGGGTGTGATTATCCCTAATTTGCTGAAGAGGCAATTGGGGCTCGTAAAGGTTAAGATTGTGTTACCCAGCTAATAAGATGTAGACCTCAGCAATGAGCTCTGGCACTCTGACGCCAAGGCCCAGACCCTTTCCTCTCCACCGGGCTCCCTCTCCCTGGGCTCTTGGGGCTGGCGGAGGTGGCTCCCTCCAACCCACACTCAGCCCACACTCCCCTCCCAGGCGGCATGATGTCAATCTTCCTCATGGGCTGCTATGACCCCAGCAGCCAGAAGTGGTGCACGGTCACCAAGTGTTCAGGAGGCCATGATGATGCCACACTTGCCCGCCTACAGAAGGAACTGGACATGGTGAAGATCAGCAAGGTAAGGAAGGGACCTGGCTGGCCCCGGTCTCTGGACTGACCATCATTAATGAGATAGGCTGTGCTTTGGGGACTCCAGGTATCATTTATCTGTCTACCCAGAAAGGAGGGTTGCTGTTTGGCCATGGGAGCAGGATTAGGCCTCAAACTCTCCGAGTGCCCACCTTGTGGAAAATGGCCTGCATGGCCTGTAGCCCACACTCCCTCTGGGCAGGGAGAATCACTTGGGATGAAGGTCAGGCTTTTTAGCTGAGTCACATCTCACGGTCTCATTACCAAGAACAGGGATTTAAGCCTTGTTCCAGCTTAGGAACAACCCAGAGCAGCACCTTTTTCTCTTCCAGGATCCCAGCAAAATACCCAGCTGGCTGAAGATCAACAAGATCTACTATCCTGACTTCATCGTGCCAGACCCAAAGGTATCAACCCAGTGGCTTGGGGTCCTTCAGCCACAGAGTTAGCTTGCAGGGTCTCCAGTGCCACAGAGAAGCCATCTCATTCTCGGTGAAAATCCACCCAGCAATGGGGATCTGGATTTTTCAGCCAAGTGACAGGTACAGGGACGACCAGCCAACACTGTAAGAGGAGAACACCATCCCCTTGGCACAGAGGGTCTGTTCTAGAAGCAGCTTGGCCCAGTCTGTTCTTGTACTGACAGAAGGAGTTGCAGAGAGGAGACGGGACTTCCCTGAGGTCACCTAGCATCAGCAGCAGCAGTGGGATTAGAACCCAAGTCTCCCAGCTGACAGCCAAAGCTTTTGTAGTTTTAACTATTCGTGTTGCTTCTAGCTTTTGGGGAGATATTTTCTTCTTAACAATGATCTGCCTGATTTACTCCTGACAGAAGGCCGCTGTGTGGGAAATCACAGGGGCTGAATTCTCCAAATCTGAGGCTCACACTGCTGATGGGATCTCCATCCGATTCCCTCGCTGCACCCGAATCCGTGACGATAAGGACTGGAAATCTGCCACTAACCTCCCCCAGCTCAAGGTGCCAGTTCTTAGGCTGTATGTGTGTTCTCCACCCCACTCTCCTGGCCTTGGAACCTTGGGCATCTGGACTGTCCACATGTCCTCTGTCATCTTTCCCCCATTCCACTGAGACAGAGCAAGGAGGGCAACTGGAGATGGAGACAAAACAGTGCCGAGTCGGGCAACAGCAGTGGGCCTCTTCCTCCTGCCGTCTCCAAGTAGAGAGCCTTGTGTTTGTCAGGCCTCGCCGAGCAGCCTTTGGTCTGGAGAGCAAGGGCTTGCTCTAACAGCCTCCTTGTGAGGGGCTGCCCCAGGCTGTAGTACCTACCTTTGCTGATTAAGAACTGGGGTACACAGAACAAGGATTTGTACCCTGATTACTCAGGTAACGGGGCCATACTTTGGAATAGTGCCAAGGAAGCCAAGGCCTTTCCCCTGCCGTTTGTCTTTCTTACCCCTTTGTTCCCAGCCACACACACCGCCTCGGAGGCCAGTGTCTGGGAAGGGAGTGATACCACCCAGAGTTCTCCTTCCTCCTCAGGAACTATACCAGCTGTCCAAGGAGAAGGCAGACTTCACTGTAGTGGCTGGAGATGAGGGGAGCTCTACTACAGGGGGCAGCAATGGAGAGAACGAGGGCACCTCAGGGTCTGCTGTGCCCCGCAAGGTCCCCAGAGCCTCCCCCAGCAAGCCCTCTGCCAGTGCCAGGAAAGCAGAAGGGAAGCTGAGTAACCCCAGCAGCAAAGGCGGTAAGGATAAGCGAAGAGGGGTGGGGTGACAAAGAGGGTGGTGTCAGGGGCCGAGATCGAGGGCAGGGACCCCGTCTCACATTCCAACTCTGAGATCACATTATCTGTGTTCACTGCAGCTAACATTGACTGAATTCCTGGTGTGTGTCCAGCCGTGGGCCAGAAGCTGTTCTGCTGGGCACCCCGTATCTGCTCAGCAGCCCTGAATAAAGCAGTGCTCTGGGAGAGCCAGTCTAAGCAGGGCATAAGCCACTTCTGAGCTAAGGGCTTAGCTGACGACTCTTCCCTCCCCCTCACCCACGCTCATAGCAGAGGAAGGGCCTGGACCTTCCCTTTACTGCCCCTGACTTCAGGGACCATTGTCAGCAATTCCTACCCTTTTAGTTCTTACCCCGAACTCTGTCCTGCAGGCAGCGTGCTGACTGCAAAGCCTTCCCCTGTGAAAGTGGGAGAGAAGCTGACCACGACGTCTTCTCCAGTGAAAGTGGGGCAAAAGCGGAAAGCTGCTGATGAGACCGCGTGCCAAACAAAGGTGAGGGTAAGAAGAGCAACACACCAGATAGGCCAGTTTGGCCCAGGGCTTTGTGTTCCCAACCCTCTGCACATGAACTTTGAAAGAAGATGAGCCAAGGTGTTTTGGGGAACACTGGCTAAAGCCCTTCCCTGCCTACAGCTGCTTCTCTGTCACGGGCAAGGCCAGCAGTGCTGCTGCTCCACCCTGTGCCCTCTTGTTGCCTTGCAGAGGCGGCCAGCCAGCAAGCAGAGAGGAAGGAGAGCTGTGCCAGCAGGCAGGAGATAGAGCAGCCCGGCCTAGCCAGGAGAGGCCGCAGGGACCCACCCAGCTGCTGGGCCCAAGTCACAATTGACATTAAATGGGAGAAAGCCCAGTCTGGGTGTGGGAGTGCAGCAGTGTGTTTGTGGTCAGGGCGGGAGCAGGTCCAGCCAGCGAGGAGACGGGGAGAGGGCACTGGCTTGATGACTCTCGTCCCACCTGAGGAGCCTTTTCCCTTTTACACTCGCTTGTCAGTCTTGGGCTTGGCAACATCTACTGAGCACCTACTGAGGCCAAGAACTAGGTTGAGTACTGGCTCAACTCTGGGGGAGCTGATGGCCCAAAGTGCAGATAGGGAAATAAACATATGATCACACATGTCATTGTGCCCCTACTCTCCCCACCTCCACCCAAGTAAACGCAGAAGTTTGACAACTCAGGACCGGAAGCCAGTCCCCAGCAGACCAATAGAAACCTTTCCCTTTCCCATCTCCCTCTTCCCTGCCTGAAGCCCTTGAACCCATCCATAGCAATGAGCAGGACTCCTGGCCCTGTGTCTGGCGAGCTGTGCAGAGTGGACCGTTTGATCTCAGGGGACATCACTGAGTCTGAGAGCCAGCCCTGCCTGACCACCAGCCACTGGATGGCTCTTGGAGACATGTACTTTTCTCATCTCCAAGTCCCGAATGTCGAGGCCCATGCCTTCTCTCTCCTTTTCCTCTAGGCAGGGATGGAGGGCAGTGTCAGTCCTGGTAATTTGGAGTGACTGGAGGGTAGGGGTGTTTTATGCATGTGGCCTTTTCTCCAGCAAACCCTGTCTGCTTGTGTCTTTAACTCGGGGCTCCCTCCTTGCTCTGTCCTGTGCTCATCTGGGTGAAGACCCGTCTGCACCCAGTGCAGGCCCGACCCCGCCCTGACCCCTCTGCGTTTGCAGGTGCTGCTGGACATCTTCACCGGGGTGCGGCTCTACTTGCCGCCCTCCACACCGGATTTCAACCGTCTCAGACGCTACTTTGTGGCATTTGATGGGGACCTGGTGCAGGAATTTGACATGGCCTCAGCCACACATGTGCTGGGTAGCAGAGACAAGAACCCTGAGGCCCAGCAGGTCTCCCCGGAGTGGATCTGGGCATGTATCCGGAAACGGAGACTGGTGGCTCCCTGCTAGGATTGCTGCCCTCCGTCTCCCTTGGGCCACACTCGCCCTCACCACACTGCTGCACTGGGCTCAGGCTGAAGGCAGGCAGACAGGAACAGGACAGGGAATGGGCTTCTTCAAAACCCACCAATCCTCCATGGTGTCTTCTGGACCAGGAATTAGCTGCTGTGGGTACCACAAGTGAAGTCAGTTTCTCTCGCTAGTTTAAATAGGACTTTCAGATCTGGGTGCTGGCTGTCATTTTTGTTTTCTTTGAAAAGGTTAGGGGTTGTTTTTGTTTTTAAATATAAGTATCTTATAGGTATCTGTCCTTCCCCACCTGTACCCCTATAATTTCCGTAGTGATTAAGGAATAAAGGCTGGGCTATTGAAGCCCTGTCCACGAAGTCTTCCCTCCCTGCCTGCCCTTTTAAAAAGTTGTATTTAAAGGACTGCCCTCAGAAATGTTTCTTATATTTAGTAGAACTTGTATTCACCCTGGCCCCTTTTGCCAGGAGTAAACCCTCGTTTGAAAGAGAACAAAATGAACTTCTATGACGATTCTTGTGTTCTCCGATTACAGGGCGAGGATCCCCAGTTTGAAGGGCGGGGACTAGGATCAGGTAGGAAGTGTGGCCCTTGTGAAGAAAAGGGAGGTTATTGGGCTGCCCCTCTGGGGGGATAGAGGGCTCCAGGAAGATCTGCCTTCCCAAAATCTGGAAATAAGACTGCTCTTTAAGAATAAAAGCCCACACTTCAGAACAGATCTATACAACCTGCCTGACAAAGAACTGCTCCTGTGCCAGCTGAGGCTGATTTATTTGAAGGACAAAAAGACAACAATTTAGTGTAGGTACCTGCTGTTCCATAGAATTTTTTCTATTGGCTATTGCCCAGGCTGGCCTCAAACTCCTGGGCTGAAGCAATGCTCCCAAAGTGCTAGGATTACAGGCATGACCCCTACCGCCTGACCTATAAACTTTTTGTGGCAGTGGAAATACCCCAATCAAACTACCATGGATGACTGTTGAGCAACTGGAATGCGGCTAGCACAGCTGAGGAACTGAAGTTCTCATTTTAATTGAACTTCACAGGATCACATGTTGCTCGTGACTACCACACTGGACGGTGCAGGTGTAGACAGACCTGGTTCAATTCGGAGCCCTGAAACTCAGTAACTGTAACCTTAGGCAAGTTACTTAACATCTGAGCTTCAGTTCCTCCGAGTAGAATGGGGATAGGCGCTGTACCTAAATCACAGGATTACTGTATATGTCCTTAGACATGTTCTGTAAAGCACTTAGCACACAGTTTGGCACATAGTTATCTAGAGTTGGAACATTGCCATTGGTGTGCATGTCCAGACCCTGCCCAGGAGAGGGGGGCCTGGCGTATAACCTCAGAACCCACGACCACAGATCTGCATGTTCAGCTCACATTCTAAGCGCAGGCTCATCAGGACACCATATGGTTATAAACTATAAACTGGCTTCCAAGTCCCAGTCCTGCTGACGCCTAAGGGTCAAGGTCAGTTTTTTGTTTTGTTTTGAGACAGAGTCTCACTCTTTCACCCAGGCTAAAGTGCAGTGGTGTCATCATAGGTCACTGCAACCTTGAACTTCTGGGCTCAAGCAGTCCTGCCTCAGCCTCCTCAGTGGCTGAGACTATAGGTGTGTGCCACCACACCTGGCTAATTTTTCTATTTTTTTGTAGAGATGAGGTCTCTTGCTCAGGCTGGTCTCAAAATCCTGACCTCAAATGATCCTCCCATCTCGGCCTCCGAGTGCTAGTATTACAGGTGTGAGCCACCACGCCTGGCTCAGGTTTTTTTTCTTGTCAATGAATTGGCAGGCTCTGGGCCTGTAAGATCAAGGACCACTGCCTCCCTTCACCCCTCAGGCCCCACTCCCACCCCAAGTGTACTCAACTAAGGTAATACTCTACTCAGAGGCTAATCAGTTAGCTTGGAGGTCAGCTTTAATCTGATTGACCTTGGCTTCCACCTACTGTTTAAAATGTCGGGGATGGGTGGGAGTAAGGATGGGAGAGGTGGGTACTGCCCTGATTCTAGCCTAGAACATCTGGTGTTTCTGAATAGACCATTCAGTATGGCTTTAGTATCAGAAAGAAGATACTCTTTATTCCATCCTCTGTGGAGACAAAAGCTGCTCCTCCTTTGAGCGCTGACCTATATAGACTTCCATTCCCCTCCCCAGCCTCCTCAGCCCAAGCAGCTAGACAGGGCAGCAGAACAAGGGTCTGCCCTCTCCAGCCTGACTCAGACCCGGCCCTCCCTGCCCTCACCGGTTGCCTTCACGCAGAGTGCACCTTCAAGGCCAAGGGCTCTGCCAGCTGCACCTCAGTAATGAGCTCAGCCCCTGGGCCTTTCTCCACCTGAGTGTTTTATCTCCATTTCACTGTCAGGGCTTTTTGTGTATTGCCTTCTCTAGTCTTTCCTAAGGTATGTTTTTCTTTGCTGCTAACATTTGACTATGTACAAGTTTGTTTTTCATGTTGTTTCTTTCATGCACTTCCACACAACCGTAAGCAGCAGAATGCTGGAGGCCTGCCCTCTTAAACCTTCAGCGTGCTGCTGGCTGGCAGTAGGCAGAGGCCATCCCTGGGTGCCGAATAGGTCAGCCACCTACAGCAAAGAGGACAAAGTACTGTGGTTCAGCCTTGAGCCTTTACACCTTTTGGCAAGATTCTTTCCTCTTTCCTCAGTCACAGCGTGGATATACGCACATACCCTTGTTCTCCCAAGGGCTGCATTCTCAAGTCTCAGGAGTCTTCCCCTTGGGTACCTGGTCAGCTGTGTACAAGCCTGTGCACACACAGTAGTCTGCCCATGAAGCTGGGCCATCCTTTTCTGAGCCATAGCTGTACCCAAAAGCTACCGTATGTCTCCCAGAATAACCTGGGAGACTTCACTGGGCATACTAGCTGTCTTCAGTTCCGTTCCACCCAGATCTTTAAGGCCCATCTCTACTAAACAGTGTTAAATGTCTGAACTCACTTGGTGTTTCTTCCCATTTGGTCTTGGGATTTGTCCTTTCCTATCCAGCTCCCATTCCCTTCTAGGCTAGTGCATGGCCTCTGATGCATTATTGTGAGATCTGGGGCAAGTCACAACAACACTGAACAGGGATATTTTGACCAAGACCACATGGCCCAAGCATTCCAAGAATAATGTAATTTCCCAAGAATATGCCTGTGTGCACATGGCCTGGGATTAGCCTGTGGTTTATCAGTCCTTTTGTCAGTCTTAACTGTAAGACTTCTTGGCATCTTCACACCGGATCCAACAGGCATCTATATTGAAACTTTATTACAAAATTATAAAGCAGAGCTCTGTAACACAAAAAAATACACATTTGGGTTTGCTTTAACCCCCAAGTTTGAGAAAATCTTAATATAAGCCACTTGAAGTAACACATTCACATCCAAGAGATTTCAACAAATTTATACAATATATATTGAGCACTAATTCCTGTATAGCTTATTATTAGTTTGGATCCAACTATTCCAATGTATTATGAACCAGTCAGCTGTCCAAGTCTTAAGTCTCAATTGAAATCTCAGAGCAATCACAGCAAAAGCCACAGAATAATTGGAAGAATTAGATGTTTCCAGGATAATTAAAACCAAGGATTCATGAGGGGCAGGAGGGAGGATTCAAGGATTTTAAAAAATCAAGTTTTATACTTGGGTTAGATATTAACTGGAATGGGATGTTGGGACTTTGAACTTTATTTGTTGTAATAATAAAAATGATACCAAAAAAAAAAATCAGAGTTGACACCTTTCTTCCTAAATGGAAACTTTCACCATAAGAGGACAAAACATTTAAAGGTAAGTTCTTTCTCCAAAATGAGTAAATGACATCAGTTCTAATTCTTACTGAGGTTACTAACCAGCCATCAGTATATTATTTTCAACTTGTGTCTAGGAGAAAAATTGGTAGGTAGGGCTTCAGCAAAGTTTTAAGTTGGGAGAGAACCAGCTTCTGCCCTGAAGTTATTGCTAGATCTTAACTGAGTAGCATATACATAGACCTGTTTCACAGTGGAACTGAAGAGTAGCTGAATGAACGATCCTTTGCTAAACTGGTAGGCATTGTAACGATAGCATTTATTGTCTGCCAGAAAGGTTATATTTTCATGGGAAAATCTGATTCCCCCAACTCCTACAAAAGCTTTGGCCCAGAATCAAAAATCATCCAGGCCTTGGTATCATGTCGAGGTAAGTGGCCCAGTGTTCAGCTGTCAACTATTTTTTGAAATTATTTCATTCTCCCGAAGGGGTTTAGTGGTTGATGATGAAGCAAAAGCATGTCTGCACCAATTAAAAGGTCCCTTTAGAGGTTTCCCACGACCACCCAAACTCATGATTGGTTTTTCCAGTCTCAGGAAGCTCAGCTGCAGCAAGGGGGGGCCCTCAGGTGTTGAGGGTTTGCACAGTTCATCCATCGGTAATGGGAGGACACACAGCTTTCCTGATAGCATGTGTGTTCTGTGCTTGGCTAAGCTTCCCCAGCAAACTTAAGCCCTTGGGTTCCTCCGGTGGTCTAAAGACGCTAAGAGGGCTAAAAAACATCACCTACTCATTGCATGGTTCTTCCTAAAGGGTCTAGAGAATGCTTCTTCCCTGACCTGTCCCCTAAAATCAGTAGGCTAAGAAGGAAAACCCAAGTAGGGACTCCCCACCAACCTGGGGAATTAAGACTTCCAGCTATCTGTTCACAGGCAGAATCCAGCCTCATTCAGTACCTTCTGATACCTCTTAGGTGTTCTTACAGGTGTTTGGTCTCCAGGAACTTCATCTGGCTGGAGAGGAGAGCAAGGTTCTTTGCCTAAATCTCTATGCCTTGGGTGAGACCAAGTTCAAAACCTCATGAGTAGGGGAGGAACTTCATTTTCAGGGGAAAGCGGTTTAAGACTCCTGCCTATTGCAAAAAGAGGCTCAGAAACCAAGTGAAAGTTAAGGAGAAAGCCACTGCCTTTACCCAACACTTCCGCTTTCCTCATGAACTAAAAGATGGTGCAAAGTCAGGCCCCAAGAGAGGAAGCAGCAGAGATTATCCATGCACCATCCCCTGCATAGAGACTGGGATTTCCCAGCAGTTTGGAAGCAAGATGCTTGTTGCTCTTAGGGTCAGGTCAAAGACTGATAGCTTCCAATCCCAGCACTTAAGGAAGCAACTCTTAACAACTGAAGTTTTTTGATAGCATCTGTGTATCATTTCTTATCAGAGTTAAATTTACTGGTCCAAATTCTAAGAGGCCGGGCGCGGTGGCTCACGCCTGTAATCCTAGCACTCTGGGAGGCCCAGGTGAGTGGACTGTTTGTGCTCAGGAGTTCGAGACCAGCCTGAGCAAGAGCGAGACCCCGTCTCTACTAAAAATAGAAAGAAATTGGCCAAACAACTAAAAATAGAAAAAATTAGCCGGGACATAGTGGCACGTGCCTGTAGTCCCAGCTACCTGGGAGGCTGAGGCAGGAGGATCACTTAAGCCCAGGAGTTTGAGGTTGCTGTGAGCTAGGCTGACGCCACGGCACTCTAGCCCGGGCAAGAGAGTGAAACTCTGTCTCAAAAAAAAAAAAAAAAAGACAAATTCTATCCTAAGGACCACAGTTGGTCTGGTAAACTAACAATTTTGGTCCAAAGAAACAAATGGATTTTAGGCAGTGTAGCAAAAGACTTTAGCAAAGGTAGGTTAAAGCACAGAAAGCCAGAGACCAGAAATTTAAATCCAAATGTGCTGGAGAGGAAGAGAACCATTTCTGACAGGACTTTTGATTGATGAAATACACGGCAAGCATCTCCAGGGGATGGGTGGGATATAGGAGGAAGGGTGAAACTGCTAGGTTCTCAGAGGAAGGGAGGAAAGACATGGTCGAAGTTCTGGCAAGTCTTTTCATCATGTACCATCATCACCCCAAGATCACTGAAATAAGGACTCACCCATGTGATTTGTAGCAGTCCCCACTGGCCTTGGGGCTTTGCCAGTCAAAAGGGGTACCCCCATGGCAAGACAGGCATGCCCAGGCGTAACATGGTATCTTTGCTTGCCCTGATCTTGGGAACACTGCAAAATTTCTTCTTTTAACTTGCCGCCTCTGCAAGCTGGCCAACCCTGAGCCCAGACACCCCAGGCTATGTCCCTGTAAGGCACTGAAGAAGCAGATGCAAGCCCTCAGGACCGGAAGACGTGCACAGCTCGGATCACATACTGCCGGCAGATGGGACACTCATTCATGCGTTTGCCACACTTGGTACAGGTTACCATGTGGCCACACTCTAGCAGAACACAGTCAATGGGTGAGTCCATGCAGATCTTACACAGGTTCTCCTCCAGGCTGGATGGCACTGCTCCCCCTGTACAAACACATGGCAGAAAAAAGGGGCAGAGGGGAAAGTGAGGAGATTATCTAAGTTTATGGGGTATGGGGGCATGGAGGTGGGGGAGAACAGATACACTGAACAAACCCCTAAGTGTACAAGCTTTGCTCAAATAGAGCTCCTCCAAGAAAACGTGTGCTCAGTAACCAACTCCAGTTGCTTAACCCGAACTTCCTCCCCTCCAAAGGCTAGATTTGGAGAGTACAGTACTTTTGGATCAAATACATCCGAAATACATGAGAACTAAGGCAAAGTCCTCAGCTTAAATAATTTTCAGACAATTGAGGCTGTAATATAGTTAGTGGCACTTAGGGACTCATTATCCCCTGAGGCAGAACATACTGAGAAGACAAAACTGGTGCAGAAAAGTTTGGCTATAGACAGAACTGTAATGAATAGTTCATTAAGGATCACAAGGCTTACCTATAAACACATCCCCAATTTAATAAAATCATGGATCATGGGGGCCCCCTGTGCCATCCCACAAACTAACCCTGGGGCTGCTTCTGAGGAAACTTCTGGTATAGGAGCTTAGCAGAGATTATTGCTCCCTCTTCTGTGCTGCCCCCAAAGAACTTCATTTAAACCCCCGTGACTGCTTGTCGAATTGGATTACAACTTTGAGTTTGCCTACGTATCTCACCCAGTAGACTACGAGCTCCTAATTTGACATATTCATTCAATTTCTACAATTACACACTTAGCATTTACTATATGCTCTGGGGTCAGACAGTCATCTTTAAAGCCCCCAAATGCCAGTCACATGGTAGGTATTCTCAAAGTGTTTGATGAATGACCATCTCCCAAGGGAAATGCAAATAGCTCACATTTACTCAATGCTCACCATGTGCCAGGCAGGGCCCTGAAAGCTTTGCATATATTAACTCACTGAATCCTCACAAAAACGATGAAGTAGTTACTCTTGTTACTCTCATTTTATAGATGAGGCCACTGGGGCCAAAGAGTTAAGTGGCTTGCCCATGGGCACTCAGCTGCTAAGTAGAGGAGCCAGGATTCAAACCCAGGCAGGCTGGCTCCACAGCTCCTGCACATGGTGTGGCCTTCTACGGCAAGTGCCCTGTGCACAGAGTCCTCAATAAATACTAACTGGTTTGTGCCAGTGGTAAAATACAGTAGGCACCAGCTGGCTCTCAACTGTAATGCCAGCACTTTGGGAGGCTGAGGTGGGAGAATCACTTGAGGCCAGGAGTTCCAGGCCAGCCTGGGCAACATAGTAAAACCCTGCCTCTACAAAAAAATTTAAAAATTAGCCAGGTGTGGTGGCAGAGGAGATCAAGGCTGCAGATGATTGTACCGCTGCACACCAGCCTGGGTGACAGAGTGAGTCCTTGTCTCTTTAAACACACATATACACACACACACACACACACACGCGCGCGCCCAGCCATCTCCAGCATGTCTTAAACTGTAGCCTAACCTTGGTAGCCATGAACAGAAAACTGGCCTTATACCAGTCACCTCCACCATCTGGGGCTTGGCCATTCCACAGGGAAATTCTTCCTTACCCTGTTGCTTCTCTACTTTTTCTCTTTTCTGGATTATTCAAAAAGTTAAATACTTCCCCTCTTAAGTGGTGGGCTGGATGTGAAAGGAGTGAAACCTCTTTACCTCCTTTGAGGTGCTGCTGGTCCTAACGGAAAGTGTGAAAGACACTGAACTAATACAAATACATAAGATGAGGAGGAATTTATAAATGTTCAATTACTTATTATTTGTCTCAGGACTAACAATAAACACATCAATTCAGCTGCCAGCATTCTCCTTGGGAACCAGAAATAGGAAGGAAGGCACCAAGTGGGTCAGCCTGACCTTGGTACCAGGTGAGGGGGTGGGTCTAGAACTCCAGATTGTTTTGGGGAATTGAGAAAAGCTCAACTCTCTTTTATGTCTAATGAGAAATCATCAGACATAAAACTCTACCCCATTCTGAGCAAAAGGCCATTTTACTGAATAACAAATTTGGAAGTCTTCTGGAAAAGTTTTTGAATGCTTTGCAGGCTCCAACACTACTCTGAGAATGTTCTCTCTTGGGAGGGAGCTCACAACCACATAGCCTTGAGGCTTTTGTAAATGTGTGGCAGATGTCAGGAGGCTCCCCAGATGGTCAGGAGTTCCGCAGTGTGTTCTGGGGGCTCTAACACATAGGTTGGTAGGTGGGATGTGCAGTTTGTGCCCAGAGAGTCCCACACAGGAACCTTTCCTGATGTCTCCAGAGCAGCTCTAACCACTGCCAGCCCTGTACAAACAAGGGTCACCACCATTTCTTTTTGGTTGGTATCAGAAGCTGGTAAACATCCTGAGTGACTTTTCTGAAGGTACACACAGTGACCCTGCCCTGCCAGGCCAGAACTGAGTGAATACCGCAGGACTATGAAAAACGAACTGAGTGTCACACATGCCACCACTCACTGTGTTATATATTTTACAGATCTTGGATGTAGAAATCAGTCTGCCCCTGGGTATGCTACCACGCTGCTTCCTTCATAGGAGGGAGAGTGAGAATTTCTAAAGCTGCTGAGAAACCCTGGTTCTCAGTGAATCTCCCCCTGACACTCTCTGGAAATCCATATGCTCAAAATTCTTAGACTGTTAGCAGGAATCAGGGTTGAAAGAGGGGAAAGACAGAAGAGCCAAGAGCCTAAGCCCGTTCCCGAACAGAAACAACTACCTACCGTTTTGGTCTTCAGTGCCACACACTGAAAAGGAAAGAGAAAGATGTCTGAATAGGTGATGATGGCATGATGGCGTGAGCAAAGTCTCCTACCACCCTGCTGTCATTTCTGACCACTCCCTACTGGACCCAGGCTTGCCAAGAGCCTGGACAGACACTTGCCCTCTTCGTTCACTCTCCGTGCTGAGAACGCACATAGCTCCCGCTGGTGCATCTGATCTACTTTTAAGAAAAGGTATTCTACCAGTTTGCATGAACAAACTGCCGAGTGGCAGGATACCGTATATGCATAATATCCTTCTCTACTGCTTTTGAAGCCAGCATTAAAGTCTGGTGGCTTCAGTCAGCCAGGGAGTCTGGATGGAGTTCCCACGTGGAGTCATCTGTTCTATTCCCAGCTCCTCACAGCTCTAGGGAGACTTTTGAGGCAATTCCAAAGGGAAGACTGAGACTCCACGTCAGCCGGTTTCAGTCTGTGATCAGGTGTTAGTCAGATGCCCTCTAACTCTGATGAGTCCGAGCTACTGGTAGAGGACAGCCTGCAGTCTGACTTCACCCACCGCTAACATGCACGGAACGAGTATGCTGCTCTGCAGGAACTTAATCAGCCGGGGATGGGAGAGAAGGTGAGGGTTCTGTGGTGAAATAGTTTCAGGAAATGCCAAATTCAAAACAGCCAAACACATTTCTGCAGGACTTCTCTGCTTTTAATATAAAAATATCTGCCATGACTCAGTAACAGGGACATAGGATAAAGTATTTTTTGACAAATTTATTTAACCACAGACCCAGACATTTTTCTGGGTATCTCCTGAAAATGATACCATGTCAAATGCTTTGGGAAATGAACAAAAGGAAAAGCCCAGGTGCAGGCAAAACAGGTATATTCTTCTACTGTGTGTACAAAGATTCGCTTTCTAATCTCCCAACTGTTTAGAATATTGTTGGAGGTAGTAGTGAGTACAAAGGGGATAGCATTCGGTGGGAAAGGCCACGGACTTGGGCCAGAAAACCCTCAGTTCAAATCTGAGCTCCACAACAGAAGGGTGATGCTGGAGAGTAAACAAACACATGCGGGGCCTGACCCAGTCTTGACACCCAGCCACAAACGACAGCTATTATTAGATGGTGCAAATGTGTGACTCCCTCTGCAACTAAAAGCATGGAAACTGAATCACGTCGATGCCATCACACCGTTGAGTGACAGCAAACACTCCAAGCTCTGTGCAGCTCCCACCCAGACAGCCCCTCACCCAGGTGCTGGAGTCCTTTCTGATCCTTGTACAGCCGCGTCACCCTCTCCATCAGCTCCCACTTCTCACAGCAGCCCTTGTAGTTGACGAAGTTGCGAGCCAGGATCTCTTTCAGCTGCCGCACTGTCAGGCCTTCGATGTCCTCCAGGTCGGTCAGGTCAGACAGAGAGGCCCTCCGACCTGGGACGAAGCTGTCCTCTGAGTCGATGGACTGCAACGGCAAAGATGAGATGGGTGGGCTCAGCTCTTACCTCCCCCCAAGCTCTCTCCCAAGGACCCCAGAACACTCATCACACTATACTTTTGGTGATTGACCTCAAGAAAAGTAGGAACAGAGGAGGAAAAGTACCTGGCATGGTGCTCTGCACTGCAAAATAGACTACAGTCTCTTCCTGACCCACAGGTCTGTGCTCTGGCACAGACAGCCACAGACCAACCAATGAGTGTGACACAGTAGGAGCACTGGTTCAAGTTACATGGCCCTAATTTTGAATCCTGACTCCTCTACCTACCACTTAATGCTGGATAATATCCAGAAAGTTGCTTACCTCTCTGAGCCTGTCCGCCCCTCCTTAAAGGAGAGGCAGCAGTCCTACCCCACAAGCTTCCTGTGAAGAGTAAATGTGGCAGCATGTGAAACCAGCAAGCATGGTGCTGGCCTCTCTCTCTCCCCTGGAGAGTTCTGCTGGCCTACGGAGGCGGTGGATTTCTGGCAATCACTCCTCCACGCACAACATCAACTACAGCTCCGTGACCTGAGGGCTGTGCTTGGAACTGGCCCCTGCCTGGCAGAGGCCTGCACTTCCCATTATCTGATCTCCTACCCTGGACAGTGGCTACTGTGTGTTAGAAGCAGGAGAAAAGAACAAGATTTTCACAGCAGCACCAGAAGCCCGCCTTCTAGCAGCTCTTAGAAAATCAAGAGACTGGAAATATAATGGGCCACAAGGCTCCCCAGTCTCCACTGTGACCCCACAACTCCTTACTAACACACTGAAAGATTGAGAGGTTAATGTGCAATGCTAACACCGCACTCCATCCTGAAAGCAGAATTTCAGAAGGACTGTTAGCACAGACTAATTCTTCTCTCTCCACCTGAGTCTGCCGAGAGGTTCCTAAGAACACCCTAAGAACACCAGTGAAAGCGCAGACACAGACGCGAGCAGAGGCCCCACCTGGGTCTCGTCCTCAGCAGGTGCTCTGGCTGTGCTCTCCAGGTAGACGGGCTCTTCGTAGTCCTGAGACACATGGCCATTGGCCTGTGGGAAGAGAAGGGTGACATCACATCCACAGAAATGTCCCAGAGATTTGCATAGCATGGGCCTCTTTCTAGCTCAATATCCAGAATATATTCCTATCTGTCTCCCCCAGAAATCTGGAGCCTCTCACAACAGCATTGCCAAAGCTTGCTCTCTCATACTAACTTTATCAGGCAGAGAAACCACACAAATAGTTTTCAATAGACATAAGCTTCCCTCTAGAACAAGAGTGCGTTCGTTCTGCCCACCACGAGGATGGCATCAGCCACCACGCACCGTCAATTTAACCCCAGCTGGAGTACCCCAGGTGAAAAGGAGATTACTATGTCGGTTGTACCGCTGTTCTCTGCCATCACGTTTTTTCTTGACACTGACCTAAAATTGCCCTCCCTATAATTTCTACCCACTGTCCCTAGTTCTGCCCCTCAGACCAATGTCCACTGTTTTTTCCCAAACTTTTCACATCATGTCTTCCCCTCCTTCACACTAAATCTCCCTGGCTTCCTCATCTGACACGGATGGGACAGGTTTCCAGACCCGCCCGACCCTGGTCTCTCTCTCCCCTGCCCAGTAACTGCTCTCACTCTAGAAATGTGCTCACACCTGTAGGGCACTCTAAGAGCTGTCTTGAAAGCTGGTCAAACATTATTTTAATGTCTCTATAAATCAATTAGGCTAAGATTATTTAAGACAAATGTCGGAGTTTCATTCTGCTTAGAATTCTAGCTTCCAAAAGGCTCCTCCTGAGTACTCCTTTATCAGGTTTTGCCAAAGAGCAGTCAGAACTGTGAGCCTCCTAATTCTGTCACCATTTAAGCCACAAACCCCTTAACTAGATCCTCTTCACCCACTGCTCCGTCCAGGCAAAAGGCCCGGTATGCAGACTCTTGGTGCAGGGCACCTGTATACTTGCCAGGTAGCCTTGCTCAGATCTAGGAGGTGGCTGAGTTCACAGGCCTTTTCCACCAGAGCCCCGGAACACCAGGAAAGGGACGACCTGGGAAGCCAAAGTCACCTGCTGACCCAAGCCACTCATCCCAGATTACATGTATCCCAGGCTACATAATACGGAGCTAGTCAAGAAGAGGCAACAACTACAGTGGAAATGAAAAGTAGCAGTAACAACAACAAAACGCTAAGCGTTGACAAGATCACACACATCACACATGTGTGATGCATCTGAAACAGTGTCTTCATCAACATCTTTAGCCCTCTCTTAGCTTTACGCAGATGTGGTGCCCGCTGGCTTCTTGGAGACTGTCTCCTTGGAGTTACCGTGGAGTCTTTCAGAGCCTAACCTGTTCCTAAGTAGACAGCTTTTGTATGTCCTTTTTTCCTAGAAAGAGAAACTGGACCTCATGCTACAAAGCATGCTCTTGTCTTTCCAGTTTACTCACTGACTACATCAAAATCTACAACTAGTGCCTGTCCACAGCTGTGCTTACTGTACACACATCCTTCCCTAGCAACTATTACTAAAGGATTAAAGGTAAAAGAAAGAACCCTGGTGGAGCCAATATTACGAGGAGATTTATACTGTAGGTGCAGCTCACTTGTGGACCTGTCGGGTAGCCTTGCATAAGCTCCTTAACTTCCCCATGCCTGTTTCTCCTGCTTGCAAGTGCAGATCTCACCAGAACGGGGGATGTGAGCAGACACCAAGGCTTTCTGAAAATCTCAAAGTACCCAGTAAGATCTGGTATGTAGGATAACCTGTAGGTACAATCTGGAAACTTCTGGTTAACGACAGGAAGCTTATAATTTTCACTGAAAAACTCACCTGAACGTTCTTCAGGGAAAAATAATTCCTCGAGTTCCTCTCCTGACTCCCCATAAATAGAGAAGAGTGCTCCAAAAACTAAGCAAAGGGAGGAATGTATAGCAGGAGGTAAAACCTGTCCAGCAGACCCAGCAGACCGAGAGCCAGAGCCTGGCAAATAGTTAAAGTCCAAATGGGGAGAAAAACATGCTCAAGCCAACAAGGGAGTTAAATGATTTTACTGCAGTTAAACTATGCTATCACATTGGCCTTTACGCCTCAGTGCCTGTCGAGAGCTGAATCAGGGGGCCCAGTCCCGGCAAAGGAGGTGATCGTAAACAAGAGGCAGCAGCCACCCCCAGCATGTGTGGGAACCGACAGCACTAGCACTGCACCAACTCTGAGTAGCTCACAGCTCTCTGGACGTGACATCGCGCCATCCAAGCCTCCCAACACCCTGAGCAAGATCAGAAGTGGTCTGGGATTACTTACCCCATTTCACTGCTGTAGGCTCATAGCTTGCCTGCAGTGACCAACGAGTCAGTAACAAAAGTGCATGTGGAAACCACATCTTCTAGTTCCTAATCCCTGCACTTTGCCTAAGCCCTGTAAATAACAGGTCACTAAGGCGCTTACGTAGACCCATGAGATGCTACCACTCCTTACAATGGTTATGTCCACCAGCCCCACTCTAATCCAGCAGTTAGGTGGTCTACGTGTCCACCTTCCCTCTTCCAGGGGCTTTCTGAGGACAGGGACAGGGGATTACTCATTTCTATACCCTCCGTGCCTGCTTCGCGATCAGTCAATGTGCTGCCCTTAGCTTACCACTTTCAGGCCCCCCAAGATAACGATGAAGCAGCTAACAGTACAGTAGGACCAACCAGGCCCCTCCCAAAGGGGTAAGAGCAGCCATGTCCTTGTCACATCATGTAGGTACTCTCCTTTCCCTCCCTTTGTTTCTCTATACGCCTTGTGATGGTTACTCAGGAACTGGGTTCCGAATCCCACTAAGGAACCACAGCAAAGGGAAGTGAGAGGACAAACTGGAACAGAACTAAATTTGGAGAGTTAACAGTGATAACAGCGAGTTTAAAAAACAACAAACAAAAAAACCAAGAGCAAGTTTTCTCAAAATATTTCTGGAACAAAGAACCTTTTAAAAATGCCTTACTGGGCTATGTATGTATTAAAAACAAACGAAACACACATGCACAAAAACCTGGTACCGTGAATAAAGCCAAAACATGAGTCCGATGTCCAGAAAACATCACTTCATGTATCACTAGGCAGAAAGGTGTCACATAACCAAGAAACTTCACGTCACACCCCATTCCCACAATGCAGGTAGGAGAAGAAAATGAGCCCCAGACTGGCAGACACTACAAACGGGCCCATACCTGCTGGTGCTCCTGAGCCTGGGCCGAGAGGACAGAGGTGGCTTGTGCAGATGAAGAGGGGCTGGGTGAGGTAGGAGGTACCGTGCTGGTGTGAGGCTGGCTCAGGAAGGCCTGCTGCTCGGGGAAGTCCGGGGACAAGGTGGGGGCACGAGTCCTGCCCTCTTGGGAGATTATAGGCTGCTGGCCAAGCACCAAGAACACCAGCTCTTCTTTCTCCCGGCACATTTCGGTAGAGATGTCATGGAGGCTGAGATAGTCCCTCAGGTCCTTCACCTTCATCTTCATGAGCTCCTCCCGCTGAAAGGCTGTGGCTCGGAACCGTTGGCAGAGAAGGCAGAGGCGGGGCCCATTCCCCACTTGGCTCGAACAGGTCATGCAGAAATTCTTCTTACAGTCCAAGCAGGTCTGCTACTTAGAGCAAGAAGCAGAGGAAGCCATGTCAGATCGAGAGAGTAAGACAGACAGTGGCATGCTTCATGGCCGCCAAGCCTACCAGGATCTCCTCCAGTCAATCTTACTCTTACTAAATCTCCAATATCTAAGGGTGTAAGCTACTTTGCAAATTTTAGATTTAAAAGCCACTCAAGGCTGGGTATAGTGGCTAACGCCTATAATCCTAGCACTTTGGGAGGCCAAGGTGGGAGGATTGCTTGAGACCAGCTGGAGCAAGAACAAGACTCCGTTTCTACAAAAAATAGAAAAATTAGCTGCGGATGATAGCACATGTCTGTAGTCCCAGCTACTTGGGAGGCTGAGGCAGGAGGACCACTTGAGCCCAAGAGTTTGAGGTTGCAGTGAGCTATGTTATAAGGCCACTGTACTCTAGCCCAGGCGACAAGTGAGACCCTGTCTCCACCAAAAAAAAAAAAACAGCCACTCAGATGTGGCAGACCTCCAGTATGTATTTGTATGCATGCATGTACAGGACACTCCACATTATGTCACTGAGGCTTGCTTTATTTACTGACACAGAGAGAACCTGAGGATATTAATCGAGACTACCAGCTTTAGAATCAAAAGGCTCTGCATTTTTTATTAAGTCTCCCTCCCTCCCTCATTTCTTGCAATGTCATCGTGGGTGTGTAACTTTCTGGGCATTCAGTTTCCACATCTGTAAAATGGGGATGATAATAGTATCTACCTCATGAGGATGTTGTGAAGAATAAGAGAATGCATTTAGCATATCTGGCACGTAATGAGGCCTCAGTAACTGTTAGCTGTTTTCATTGTTATTGCTAGGAAACATTAGCTAATGATGAGAGCCAGGATTCAAGTCTTAAACTATGATTCTTTCCACTTTATTGCTCAAAGTAAGAAAATGCACAAAGGGTTATGGTGGTAATTGTTACTATTAATATTAGTATTAATTACACTTATCGAGGTATTTTTATGTGCTAGAACTACACCTAGCTTGTCATTTAATTCTCAAAGCAAACCTGCAAAACAGGTATTAGTGTTCTTCCCTGCTTCACAAACCAACCAAGACTCAGAGACAGCGAGTATTACATTCAAAGTCAGTAAAGAGCAGAACTGGGACAACCCCTCCTGGTCTGCTGAGGCTAATGTCCAGGATCATGCTCTTTCCACCAGGCCGTGCTGCCTAACTCAGTCCCAGGCGCATCCAAGCACAGAGCAGCACTGAGTCAAGGGCCTGCCTTTCCCTCTCGAAACTCTCACTCAGCGCTCCATGCACAGAGGCTGGTGCCAGGCTCCCCCGCTCCAAGAAGGCCCACTCACAGTGCTGGGAATTCAGTGGTGCAGAAGACCACATCCAAGACAAATATTTGGACAGCTAAGGGAAGCCCTCTGGACATTAGGGTGCTCTCATTCGTGAAAGCACAGAGCGTCTCAGTTAGGCGACAAGAGCGCCTGACGGGCAGGCTGGTACTGCCTGGCAGCAGCTACTCCTGCAGTCACTGACAACACGCCACAGCTTGCTCAACCCTCAAGAAGCAAATCCTCGGCAGCTCACCCCACAGGCTGAGCGAGCACAGTGACATCTGGTTGAGCTCTGTTCCAGCCAAGAGCAGAGGTCACACCCCCAAGGAGAGGTAATTCCTGAGCACACTGGGATCGTCCTTGAGGGCACCGTCACTAATCCTTTTAAGAAGTTAAAAAACTTTTCATCCTGTGGTGACTTAAGTATTAACCTAAATATCTCTGCTCCCTCTTTTCTAAAGATAGAAATCTGTTCAGGCCAAAAAAGAATGCTCAAGAGACAGGATTCTCATAGCTGAGATCACAGACGCTCTCGTGTAGGGCTGAAGTAGAAGTCTGCATAGTTAAGATAGTTATATTTAGTTTTTATCTAAGTGTCATTCACATAGCAAAGGGAAAAGGAAATAGCGTTTGCCATCCAGCTTTGGCTATTAAGACTTGGAAGGCATTGCGAAGGGACACATGTCCAAGCTCCCTTATTCTCCACACAGTTATAGCCAGAAAATAAAATGTTCAGGGACTGGCTTAAAAGGACACATGGCCACACTAGCATTATAACAGTTCTGGGACCAGTAACCATGCCACTGAAAAATGGATGTTTCGGCATATTTGGGGTTCATTTCCTGTTGGGAAACGAAGTGTGTTTAGCATGACTGATAGTGAAACGAAGAGGCTTCAATGTCATAAAGCTGCGAACCTGACACGGAGCATTACCTGAGTCAGTGCAGTTTGACTAAAGCCTGTGTTGCTCAATCAGCCAGATCCAAACTCTTCAAATGTGTGTGGCTTGTTGGATGCAAGATCAGAATGCAAAGACAGAAACCCAGCTTCTGTGCAGCTCCCTGCTCACTAGGGACTCTCAAGTAAGCTGGAATCTGAACCATACCCTACAGGAAGACAGTGCTGGAGGCTAAAATCCCAGTTTGCAGTGGCAGGAGAGAACAAAGGGAAAGAAAAAAAAGGGCTGTCAACAAATGTGGGCAGAATGAGCAAAGGACAGGCTTATGTATAAATTCTAGCAAATGGTTCGAACCAACTGAGAAACAAGGTTGCATGAAAGGTGAACTAGTGGAGGCAACATGCCTGTGGAAATGCCCAGCAGACAAAGTCCGGCATCAAAGAGCTGGCTGCTGCACCTCAGGCAGGTGCCACCCTCCAGGGACAGGGAGGCCACGTGGGTGCTCTGCTGGTTCCCCTTTGCCAATCTGCCCTTCCCTCACACCCCACCCCCCATCCCATCCATATTCCCTGGCCTTGGTCAGGCTCACTTTGTTCTTTCAGTCCTACCAGTCTAAGGACTATGGAAACATCACACGAGAGCACGCACGTTAAGGCGGACGCTCAGGGAAAGGTGACATAGTCAACTTTTACTCCCTTTGCCCTGTGCCTCATCTCTGGGCTTTTGTCAGTACTTAAGACCCACTCTTCCCTTTCCACTCTGAGATCTGAATATCACTGCCATGGCTCCAAGCACAACCTCCCTCCTCCTCCTTTAACTGGTCCAACTAAAGAGGCGGGGTGCCAAACTCCCTCCAGAATTGTCAGGGTCGGTGCTAAACCACAGGCAGGTATTACCAATACAGATGGGATATTTGGGCTTGTGGCAAAATTACAGCCTGCCATTTCTTTCTTTCCAAACACTAGAAACTTAGGGAATGCAAGTGACACATCTTACTTATGTTCTCTCTGTGAAGTCCTTAATGTTATCTGTGCTTTGCACTCAATGAGCATTCAGAAAATACTGACCATAACAGGGGACAAAAAAAAGTAAAAGAAAGACAATAGGATCCATATAATCATTTCAATTCAATCACTTCTAGAACAGACATTTTAAAAAGCTGCTGTTAAATGCCAAACCCTTAAAATAAGAATGCTGATCCACTTAAGCATGAAATTACAAATGAAAAATTCTCATAGGAGAAAACATCCTTAATATACACAAAATTCATCGTGAATTGCACAAAATTAATTCATACTTTTGTAGCAAGAAAATATTGTACCAATAACCATCTTTTACCATCCAAATTAGAATTTTTCTTCCCCCCACGAAGGCTCTTCTTGCTACAGACACTTTCTTCTTGTCGCACTGCATGGTGTGCCCTGCTCCATCTCCCTGTCTGACTGCAAGCTCCCCATTAAGCAGGAATGAACTTCTTCATCTCTGCCTCCCTAGCCCAGGCAATGCCTGACACACAGTACATATTCAATAATTTATTTTCCAATAAATAAAAAAAAGTTCTGTATTTTAATCACTGGCCGTGCTACTAGGCACCTACACTTATAACTTGCTGTCTTCAACTCCACGCCAAATGTCTTCTGGAAGGGAACTTCAGAGTCAAGGACCTGGGTTTGAATCCCAGCTCTGTCATTTAATAACCATGTGATCTTGAGGCGCTACTGAAGTTAAGGGAAAAGAATGAGTACTTTAATGTCCCCTATGCTATTTGTCAGGAACTTTACACAGTTTTCTTTTAAATTTTAAACTCTAAGCCTTAGTTTCTCGTATGTAAAATGGGATTTGGGAGATTCTAAAACCTGTATCATAGTTATTGTGAGGATTGAGCGAAAAATTCCTTTAAAACAGTCCCTTGCACATAGCAGATGGTTTAAAAAGTATTATTTCCTCTTAAATTTCCCATTATCACCATTTTTAAATTTAATTTTATTTTATTTTAGCCAGTCAAATTTAGCAGTTGGGGGTTGTATACCAACTTTAGCGACACTAAAACTACTATTTGGACCAGCCTATCACCATTTTAACATCACATCCTATTACCCATTCTGGGCTGCAAACCTCCCATTCTGCGGAAGAATACAGAATGCAGTTCTTTATCCAGGTCAGGTTCACCTTCTGCCCCTGCGATGCTTGACCACAGAGAACTCACTGCCTCCCGGCACACAAAGGGATAACCCACGCCCATACATTCATACACCATCACCCAGCCAATAATTTTATTTCTTACTTGCTAATCCGGGAGGCATGGCTCCCAAGCATTTCAAATTAAATCTGCTACAGTAAATAAGCTCCAGTCTGTCTGTTAGCGTCTTGGAGTATCTAAGGCATCCTTGACATTGCTCTTGATAAAAAGAACAAATTAATCTGCAGTCAGCCCTTTTATGATGGTGGCTAATGAAAGGAATAACATTAAGTGTCTACATGTTCCAAGCATCGTGCTGGGCACCCTTCATAGCCTACTTATCTCATTGTATTCTGACAACACTGGGAGACGGGTACTACTATCATCCCCATTTCACAACAAGGAAACTGAGTCTCAAGAGAGGTTAAGTCGTAAAGCTAGTAAGTAGCAAAGCTGATAACTGAATTCAGGTCTATTGGCTCCAAATCTATGCTGAGAGGCTTTGCCTTTGCTTGGTTAGTTTTTCTTACACATTTTTGTGAAAGGGTCAAGTCTGAGTCACCAGCATAGCACAGGGAGAAGCAAGGTGGCAGGCATTCAGAGGTCAGCAGGCTTGCTCAAGGTCCAGAGGCTACAGCAGCAGAGCAGGCTAAGAAGTCAGCACTCACCTTCCTGGCTGTGTTTGCGAAATGGGCCCCACAGGCCCTGCAGCTTGGTTCTGAGCCTGTTGGGGAAGGGAAGGAGCTGTACCCGGGGTTGGAATAGGCCTGTGTCCTGGCTCCCTGGGGTGGTGGGACCTCCTCAGGCTGTCCATCCAGGCAGAACCAGTTGCAGCAGGTTGCCCACATGATAAAATCTGGTGCAAAGGAGGAAGGGGGAAAAGGTCAGCGTTAAGACACACCGCTACTGCCCTGTCCATCCCTGAGAGCACAGGTGGACAGTAATACTCAATCCACACCTGCCACCAGAATCGAGGGGAGGACATGTTTTCAGGGACCACAGATTTCTTGCTGCCGCCTCTACCACCACAGTTGCTTTTGCTTATATAATAAGAGGTGAGTACCCACACCTGCTCTTCCAGAACAAGACGAGCTACCAAGTTGGCACACTGCCTTTGAAAGATTGCTGATCCCTGATCGGGTTCAATCTGAGATCTAACTTCAAATAAAAATATTTTCTTACTGTAGCAATTACAACTGGCTTAACACCCACTTTATTCTAATCCTTAGAGTTCAGACAGAACTTTATCATAGACACACACACACAATTCCACGGGGAAGATGTATTATTAGTTCTTCTTTATAAATGAGAGGCAACCCAGGCTTAAAGAAATCAAATATATAGCTAATACATAGAGAGCTAATATACAGAGTTGAGATTCTAAAAAGCCAGGTCTTCTGACCCCAAACCTAACATCCTTCTCCCTATACCATGTTGCCCTTCGATTCCCTTCCCACCAGCCAGCAGAACTAACTCCACTTACATTTGTACCCACAATCCTACATAAACTTCAATCACAGCATCTATTACAGTTTCTTGCAGATGTATCTGCTCTTTCTTTTCTCCCACTAAGCCATAAAGTCCTCTAGGGCAGGGACTACTTCTTATTCATGTCTGTAGTATACACAAGCACTGTTGTACACATAGCAGATGCTCAACAAATATCTGCTCCCTTGCCAAATCAGCAACTCTGTAGGTTTATTAAGGAGTTTTGGATTATTATTCACATTTTACATATCAAATACAGGTACTGGAGACAAGAGGGTTGACGATTTTTATGACCACAGAACAAAAAGGATCTAATCCCTCAAATGTCAGAATGACCTAAAGATTATAAGAGGGTCCGTTAAAATGCCACACACTGCTGTGATATGAGTATGTTTTTCTTAATAGACTAAGGCAGTCAATGTGGACATTTTGAGCCTGAACTCTTTGCTTACAGAGATAATAAAGGAAACATTTACTGTTACTATTTGATAACCAGTTCACACAAGAGAACTGTCTGCTCTGTCTCCTGACTCATTGTTTTAACAGTGGCGCTTTCATAGTTCAAAGATGTGGTGAGCTGGAAGGAACCAAGAGGCCAACTGGTCCAACCCTGCTCATTTTATAAAGGAAAAGAACGAGGCCCAGCAAGGGGAAGTAACTGCCTGGGTCATACAAGTTATAACCTTAGGCCTCTTGACTTTTCCAGGTTCTTTTTAGCTTTCCAACACGGCCTCCAGTGCACCTGTAATACAATTCGTTCTCTTCTGCAGGGGCCTCTGATTAACACCTGTCTCCCCCACTTGCCTATGACCCCCATGAGAACAGAGAACATGACAGTCTTACAGCACCCAGTGACACAGATGGCTCAACAAGGACTATCGAATGAATGAATCATATACAATATTTAAATCTTAACTAACCACACATTTGTTCAATTCCTAGCACATCAAAAACATTTCTGACTCAACATTACTTGTCTGAAGACTCTAAGTTCCCATAAGAGAAGGAACTAATCTGCCTTACTTGCAATTAACAGTTCACGTGGAATAACGAAGCAGAGTGCTTCACAGTGTGTGTGCGATACAGTAAATGAGCTCTTTGTTGGCAACAGAATGGGGACGACAGAGTACAGCCCTCTGAAATGGGAATTTTGTAATTCTTTAGATGCATCTGAGACAGTGTGTAATAATAAAAAGACGACAGAATCTGGCATCAGGAGGCCTGGGTCCCGAGTCCTGCTCTGCTACTTACGGGCTATGTTACCTCTACTCTCATAAGGCGTACCCTTTCTGTCCTTTGTTTTTCTCATATGGGCATTCTGTATGCTGTAAGCACTAAATAAATATTAGTTGTTGTTATCAGCATTTTAACTACAATTTCTCTGGGAAGGCAAAGGTACAAAGTAAACCTAGAAATGTCACCACAATTAGCATTTGGCTTTCTGGGCGTGTTCCCTGCAAAGGAGACAACGCCGTAGGTGAGGGGGGGAAGGCTACAAAGATGGAAATGATCAGTTCTATAGGGGCCAAAGGGTGACCAGAGAAGACTTCTCAGTGAGATGTCACACATCCTATCTTGACGTGGAATTAAGTGGAATTTACCAGAAAGTCAAGAATGGAAGAAATTTTCAAGAAAAACAAAAACAGCATGCACCATGGCATTCAAGAAACTACCAAATGCTTAGCTGGGTCAGTGGAATAGGGGTGGGGGTGGACAAAGGTATAAGCAATAAACAAGGAGCCACGGAAAACCTTGTACTCCAGGAGAAGGAACCTGGACTTTATCCTGTATGTAACGGGACACAATTAGGGGGTTTAGGCAGTCAGGTTTTATGATCTTATTTGCATGCTAGAGTAGGCACTTAAAGCAGTAAGCAGCATGGGGACAAATCAGCAAGGCGTGGGTTGGAGGCAGGAAGCTGCCAGAGACAAGATTGCAGATGGGGAGATAAGAGAAAGCACAAAGAGATCTCTGATAGAATTAGCATGATGTATCAGTTAACAGAATGAGGTGAGAGGAGGAGGAGAAAAGAGTCTAGGGACAAATGCCAGAGTCTCTGAATTACACAAGAGGACAGACAGTAGAATCATTAGCAGAGCACAGTGTCCTTCCTGTATGTAGTTCCAGCTACTTGAGAGGCTGAGGCAGGAGGATCACTTGAGCCCAGGAGTTCAAGGCTGCAGGGAGCTATAATAGTGCCCCTGCACCTCAGCATGGATGACAGAGCGAAACCCCATCTTTTAAAAACAAACAAACAAAAAAAGACAGTGGAATCATTTGCTGAAATAAAGCTCTCAGAAGAAAGCTTGTGTCTGGGGGTGGGGGGAGGGCTAAGATGATGAGTTGAGTTTTGTACCCGGGGGACATGCTGATGTACACATGGGTACATATCTGGGCTGAAGATAAAGGTCTGGGAATCCTTGGACTGTTGGAAATATGTAAAGCCAGCGTGGGGCAGGAGACTGATAAGATGGTTGGGGTCAGAAGAGGGCCTGGGAAAGCCACATCCACAGGGCAGGCAGAGGAAAGCCAACCAGCAGAACGGGAGGAGGAAGAAAGCTCAGAGGTGGGAGAACTGGAAGAGTGTTTTGAGTTTCAAGAAAAAATTATCAAATACAAAGAGGAATACAAAATGCCCAACAGACTTCATTTTAGCAAAGTGGCAGTGTGTTCTTTGCCTGAGCAGTTTAGGAAGAAAGAAGATGACTGATAACTACCCGTTGGAAAGTGAATGAGAAGTGAGAATTCACAAGATTCCAAGGATAAATTATTCTTTCAAGAACACTGACTGTGAAAGGAAGAGAGAAGGCAGTTGTTGAAGAGGATCCAGGGTCACTAAGAGAAGTGTAGACATATTCACGAACTGCCTAGGAAACTACAAAAGACTAAGGAAGGGAAGCTGGCGGTAAATGATGAGAGTAGAAGGGCCAGGAACAGAAAGAAAAGCGATCATGCGATCAGATTTGGGGGTAGACGACTCCTGGGCAGGAGGAAAGTCACTTCCCAGCAAGCGGAGGGAGGTGAAGGCAGAGGTAACCAAAGACAAGTTTATAGCATTAGCAACAGAAAGGTGAAACGATGAAATAAAAAGGAAAGGGGAATAGATTGAGCCACAGGAAAAAAACAAATTTTTCTTCCACACAAGGAATCTTCGTGCTGTAAATTTTTCCTAAGAGGTAAGCACTTTGCCACACAATGGGCAGACCCACTGGGTAAGGCACAGTGAGTAGGGAAAAACTGGAAAGCTGTATTTTGTTGAAATCCTCATGCTTTAACAAGCACTTAGGAAGCACCAGCTATGTGGTGCTTCTTGTGGACTTCTTGATACGAGATGGAAGAAAGCTCTCTTCCTTTGCTGGGAGTCAAGAGAACCCATCTTCCTCCACACTATTTTCATTCTCTCAATTTTAGTTCTAACCTTAAGTGCCTCCTCTGAACATCTCTGAAAGAAAAGCCATCAGCCTATTCAAGAATTTGCCTACTCTAAAAAGTCAGATGCAGCTCTGTGAGAAGACTTGAAATTGCCATTCTGCTATCCCATAGGCCGCACATTCAGGTGGAGAACGAAGTTTTATCCTAGGGCTGTGTGTATGTGGGGAGGGGGGTTATACTGGGAAGGAGCAGGTAGGTGACAAGTGTCCAGTGCTAAAATACCTTAGATCTACTCAGTCTAACAACAGGTTCGCTAACGTCAGCAGACCAGGCTTTTACTCTTTCTGACAGATATTTAAATAGCAAAAAAGAAACATTTCCTAATGTGGTTAGTACTCTCCTGCCAAACTGGAAAGACCTAAGCCTAAATAACAACTATATTCAGGATTATTTCAGGGGGCGGAAGGAAAGAGTTTATAATTTTAACAATGCCATATGAGCCAAACACTTTTCTCTCGGGAATATTTTTTTCATCTCTCAACCCTAAATAGACAGATACACATATGTTACTGAAGGGCTGAAAGTGGATTTGTGGAGTGTAGTAAAGAATTCTTATATGGTGGTAGCTGAAAAACTTTACTCTCTCATCTGCTAACCTCCTTCGGATCTTGAAAGAAAACTATTATCAAATCTTCACTGAGGGCTTGAAAATTCCTTCCCAAACTCCCCTCACCCTCTTCTGAAAAGACAGACTTGGCAATTTCATCCTCAAAAACAGTGTCAGACTGCTCTTCTACAGAGCTTGTTTGAAAGCTGCCAGGCTCTCCTCTTCCACCCTCCCTAAAAGGGAGAAAAGTGGGAGATGTAAGCTGGGAACGAATAAGGACATTTCCAGTTCCCTATGGAAGAACGCTGTGGTATGAGGCAAGAAGGGCTAGCTAGCACGTGGGAGTCTGTCAGCTTGATAGGTGTGCTGGTATTTCTTGGGAGACTTAG